CATCTCTTTATGGGTGTGTTGAGTCTATTTACATTCAGTGTAATTATTGATAGATGTGAGTTTATTGCTGTCATTTTGTAGTGCTTTTTTTTGTGGTGCTGACGTATTCTTTGTTCTTCTTACTCTCCTGTGGTGAATTCCTTTTGTTTGTGGATTTTTTTTTCATTACTTTTGATTTTGTAGGTTTTGTTTTTCCTGAGACTTTATGTTTTTCCTCTTTATTTTTATGAGTATGTTTGTTAACTTTCTTTGTGGTTACTGTGAAATTTACTCTTATCTTTCTAAGTCTGAAACAGTCCATTATTACTTGGTATCACCTTGCCTTCCTTTCCATTAGAAGAGGTCTATACTTACACCATTTATTCCCTCTTTTATTGTTCTGATGTTGTTGTCATTTATAGATTAACTGCTCTGATTCCCTGTGGTATTTCTTCTGGTTTTGGATAGTACTTGAGAGTTCATTTCCTAGATTGGTATCTGGCTGGTATGATCCTACTTCCTAGATTCAACCTGTGAGCTGAAGTTGTTTGTTCTCAGATCGAAGGACTCCCTTTAATAATTCTTGTAAGTTTGGTTTGGTTTTTACATATTCCCTTAATTTTTCTTTATCTGGAAATGTCCTAAGTTCCCCTTCATATCTGAATGAGAGTTTTGCAGGATACATTATTCTTGTCTGGCAATTTTTTTCTTTCAAAGTTTTATATATGTCATACCATTATCTTCTTGGCCACATGGTTTCTGCTGAATAACCTGAGCTTAGTCTTATTGTTTCTCCTGTGTATGTGACTTTTTGTTTTTCACGAGCTGCTCTCAGGAGTCTTTGTTTATCTTTGGTTTTGGAGAGTGTGATTATGATATGCCTTGATGATTTTCTTTTGGCATCTATAGTATATGTGGTTTGCTGAGCTTCTTGGATAGCCAGCTTTTCATCTTTCTTGATATTGGGGAAGTTTTCTGTCACGAGTTCTTCAATGATCCTCTCTGTGTTTTCTGTTTTCTCCCCCTGTTCTGGAACTCCAATCACTCACAAATTTTTGCTTTTGATTGTATCCCCCATAATTCTCAGGGTCTCTTCATTTTTGTTTGTTCTTTTTTCTGAGTTTTCCTTGAACACAGTTGTATCCAAGTGTTAGTCTTCAATTTCGCTTATCTTGTCTTCCACCGTTTCAAATCTGCTCCTCAGCCCTTCTATGACACCGTCTATTTCTGAAGTCTTGTTTATCTTTTGGATTTCTAATTTTTGTTTTTGTATAATTTCTAGCTGTGAATTTATTTTGTCATTTTGTTCCTGCCTTATTTTCCTGAATTCTTCCATTTTTTTTGCGTGTATTTTCCATGAATTTGTCTATTTTTGCCTCATTTTTGTCTGCTTTTTGCTTCAACTCTTGGATAATTC